AGGCGGGGAGGGGTGGGGGGTGTGCTCAGGGGGTCCGCAGTGCCCCACTGGGAAGATGCCAGGGCTTCCCTCATTCCCTCCAGCCTTTGCAACTCCCTGACAGCTTGGGGGCTCACCGGTTGGGGGCGCCAGACTGGAGCACGCAGACCTTCCAACGCCCCCGTAAGGAAGGCCAGGACCACCCAGTTTCACAGCTCGCCAGTGACCCCCAGACAGGGGCAGGGCGGGGGTACTCACGTTGTAGAGCTGGCTCTGGCCCTGGGCATGCACGGGGACGTCGGGGGTGCCGGAGAACTGGAACGGAGGAGGGCGCGGGTCACTGCACCAGTCCACAGTCCCGGGCATGGGGTGCCATGGCAGATGGGCAGGGCCTGGCCGCCCCTCCTCCCACGGTGACCGACCACTGGCCCTCGCTGAGGGCTACGTCCCTGTCCCTGGGCGCCTGGCTTTTGAGAGGGGTCCTGCAGGAATTCTGAGGCCACGCCAGGGGTGGCTGCACGAGGCCCGCCTCCCCTGGTGACCCCAGGGCAGCCCCTGAGCAGGGTCCCAGAGTGGACTGGAAGGCTCTGCCTTCACTCACTCTTCCTTCGTGCCCCTGCAGGGGCTCACAGGGCAGGGCGCCATGGGGTCCCCGCTTTCAAACTATGAAAAAGGAAGCCGGCAGGACAAGGTTTTTCAAATAAATTCTTAGGCCACAGCCCTAAATCCAAAACAGAAACGACTGGGAGCGGGGCCAGCTCCCAAATGGTCCACCGCGGTTCGAGTCCCAGACCTGGTGCTTTCAAACTCACCCAGGAGGAGAATGGAGGAGGAGGGGTTGGAAGCGTGGCCATCCCCCCTGGGGGGTGAATTCTCACTTTCCCTCTCACTGTCTCTGTCTCTGGCAAGCAAACACATCTTTTTTAAAAAGAGGGAGAAATGGCTGGGAGCACGGGGACGCTGTCAGGGCCAGAAGTCCCTTCGGAAGCCCTCCTGCCAGCTGCTCACCGAACCACCCCACAGGACCCCGGGGCTGCAGGGCACCCAGGAGAACCAGGCTCCGGGCTGAGGCACCCATTCACAGGTGGGGAAACAGGTTTCAAGAGGAAGGCCGGGCCTCCATTGGCAGCTGGGCCACAGGACCTGGGAAGGGGCTGCAGGTCCCCACTCACCGGCTCCCAGCTGCCTGGACATGAGCCCTTTCCTCCCCAGCAGGACCCCTGCCGGCGGGCTCCC